TTTTTTTTTTTTTTGTAAGGATCCTGGGCTTAAGGGATCCTCCTGCCTCAGTCTTTTGAGTAGCTGGGATTGTAAGCATGTGCCTCTGTGCCTGCCTAAATGTTCTAATGAATATAGGGTTAGTGTATTCCTAAGATTTTTTGCTTTTAATGAGGCGTAATTTCTCACACTTTAACTTTCCTCAAACTGAGTTACTTAAAATTGAGATGTAGTAGTTTTTTCCTCTTGAAAAATTTTAAAAATTGTTTCTCCCTGAATGATTGTCATTAGCTTGATTACATGTCATATATAGAAAATGCTAATTGTGGCTGGGTGTGGTGGTTCATGCCTGTAATCCCAGCACTTTGGGAGGCCGAGGCAGGAGGATCACCTGTGCTGGGGAGTTTAAGACCAGCCTGACCAACAGGAGAAACCCTATCTCTACTAAAAATACAAAATTAGCTGTGTGTGGTGACGCATGCCTGTAATCCCAGCTACTTGGGAGGCTGAGGCCGGAGAATCGCTTGAACCTGGGAGGCGGAGGTTGTGGCGAGCTGAGATCACGCCATCGCACTCCAGTCTGGGTAACAAGAGCGAAACTCCGTCTCAAAAAAGAAAATGTGAATTGTCTCTTGGTGGTGTAAAGTTTCTTAGATTTGGAGCTGGGTGCAGTGGTACCTGCCTGTAGTCCCAGCTACTTGGGAGACTGATGTGGGAAGGTTGCTTGAGCTTAGGAGTTTGATTCTGGCCTGGGCAATATAGCAACACCCCATCTCTTAAAAAAAAAAAAAAAATTTATTAGATTTGTTTGAAAATTATAGTGAGCTCGATTCTCCTGATACATTCTTTAAAAAGTCTCTTTGGAAGTAATATCAGTTTTTAAAAACTATTAAAATATTATTTAATTTTCTTACTAGAAATCATTCTAGGAAATTTGTTACTAAGAGTGAACATATATTTACAGTTTTAAAATATATGTATAGATTATGTGTGGACTTTAATATTTTCTTTCTGTTTTCAAAGGTTTGATCTTTGTGGTCTTCAGTGAATGAAACGCTCATGTTTTTGGAAAAAGAGAGAGAAATTGTTAGTTCGGTTCTTAGTCTTGTTAACCAATATGCTTTAGATGGAACTAATGTTGCTATTAATATTCCAAGGCTCTTACTTGACAAAATTGAGAAACAAATGTTTCAGGTAAGCATTTGAAAGTAAGGAAGCTTTTGAGAAAACTCCTGCCCTGTTATTATATATTTTCTTGGAATGTTCTGCTTTCAGAATTTATTTCTGTAAGCATATTTAGTAAAACTTTCATAAAGAGAGATACTGTTAAAGGTGTGTATATTTATATGTATTGACTTTTATTAATTGCCCCATACCTGTACAGCACTGCATCATACAGTGTAGAGAGTGTGAGGTTTCCTAGTAGGAAGATGATAATTGCCAAATGTCCTTTTAAAAAGTCTCCATCCCCTGGCTTCTGTTTTATCTTGATGCTGTTAAGTGTTGCTTGTAAAGTCTTCTTCCTTTAGCTTTGTGACCTCAGTGTCTCTGCTTTTCTGTAGTCTTTCAGACTGCTGCTGTTTTTTAACTCTAGTTTCTTTTTCTTTTTTTTTTTTTTTTTTTTTGAGACAGAGTCACTCTGTTGCCCAGGCTGGAGTATGGTGGCATGATCTTGGCTCACTATAACCTCTCCCTCCTTGGTTCAAGTCATTCTCCTGCCTAAGCCTTCCATGTAGCTGGGATTACTGGCCTGTGCCACCATGCCTGGCTAATTTTTGTATTTTAAGTACAGACGGGATTTCACTGTGTTAGCCAGGCAAGTCTCGAACTCATAACCTTGAGTGATCCACCCACCTTAGCCTCCCAAAGTGCTGGGATAACAGGTGTGAATCACTGCGCCTGGTTTGGTTTCTTTTTTTCTATATAACTTTTAAATAATGTTCTCCATGGGTTCTTTTAATGCCCTCTTATTTTTTCCCTCATTATAAATTTATCTGATTTTTCTTACCAATTCAATGACTTCAGTAGTCTCTCCTCATCAACCCAAACTCTATCCAATTATTTCCACTTGCTTATGGAACATTATCTGGATATCTTACCTTTTTGTTTTTTTAGAAAACACAGTTCATCAAGCATCTACTATATGCTGGGGAGATGCAAAGATAAAATATTGTTGTGACTCTCTGAAGAGTAATAGGAATTATATGTTACAGTACAGGGAAAGTAGGAAGTGATGAGGTCTTCAGAGAAAATTACTACCTAACATGGTGGTTTCCTAAGATGGACAGTAAAAAATAAAAAGAAAATAATTACCGTAATTTTTTTTTGCGACAGAGTCTTGCTCTGTCGCCTAGGCTGGAGTGCAGTGTGAGATCTCAGCTCACCGAAATCTCCACCTCCCAGGTTCAAGTGATTCTCAGCCTCCCAAGTAGCTGGGATTATAGGCATGCAGTGCCATGCCTGGCTCATTTTTGTATTTTTAGTAGAGACAGGGTTTCACCATGTTGGCCAGGCTGGTTTCAAACTCCTGACCTCAAATGATCCTCCTGCGTCAGCCTCCCAAAGTGCTGGGATTATGTGAACCACTGCGTCTGGCCCATAGTTTTTGTGTGAAATCTATGATTTAAAAAATACTGGAAATTAGCTGGGCATGGTGCCTCACACCTGTAATCCCAGCACTTAGGGAGGCTGAGGTGGTCAGATCACTTGAGGTCTGGAGTTTGAGACCAGCTTGGCCAACATGGTGAAACCCCATCTATACTAAAATACAAAAATTAACCAGACATGGTGGTATATGTCTATAGTCCCAGCTACTTGGGAGGCTGAGGTGGGAAGATCACTTGAATACTGGAGTTGGAGGTTGCAGTGAGCCAAGATCGAGCCACTACACCCAGCCTGAGTGACAGAATGGGACTCTGTCCCAAAAAGAAAAAAATTGGCAACTAATTTAAATAATTTTAAAATACAGAACTGTGCAAGCTGAAGAAACACATATAAGTACAGACACAGCTTTTAGGGGTCATTGAGTTGTAACTTCTGTTAAAATAGGAATTTATGATCTTTTCACCAAACCTGTTCTTTCTGCTCAATCTTTATTTTTCTTTCCATCTATTAACATTTCTTTCTTTTCTGGGTTTTTTTTTTTTTTTGAGATGGAGTTTCGCTCTTTGTTGCCCAGGCTGGACTGCAATGGTGCCATCTCCGTTCACTGCAGCCTCCACCTCCCAGGTTCAAGCAATTCTTCTGTTTCAGCCTCCCAAGTAGCTGGGATTACAGGCACCGGCCACCATGCCCGGTTAATTTTTGTATTTTTAGTAGAGACCAAGTTTTACTACGTTGGCCAGGCTGGTCTCAAACTCCTGACCTCAGGTGATCCACTCTCTGTGGCCTCCGAAAATGCTGGGCTTATAGGCATGAGCCACTCTGCCTGGCCAACATTTCTTTTATTCTAGTTGTCAACCTTTTACATAACATAAAAATGTAGCAAGGTCTGTTAGTTCTTTCACAGTAGTTTTCATTGGACCAAAATTATTTAAGTCATTTTATGTTGGGGGTATTTGATTTTTTTTTCTCTCTTTTTTAAGGTAAACTTTAATCATAAAAAATCTAAATATATTTATGTAATAGTTTATTATTGTAACAACTTATAGTTCACTACTTTTTTCTCCTCCTGATTTCTTAGTTGCACATAGGAAATGTTTATGAGGCTGGAAAATTAAACCTCTTAACAGTTATTCAGTTATTGAATGAAGTCTTGAAAGTAATGAAATATGAAAGTTGTCAGTCTGACCAAGCAGGATTGACAGTAGACCTTCACTACCTTGAAAAAGAAACCAAATTTCAGAAGGAAAGATTATCAGATCTGAAGCATATGAGGGACACTAGAAAGATCTGTTATTTTACTGTGGGAGGAGTAGGGTGGTTTTCTCAGCAAAGATCTTGTATAACTTTAGTAGCTCTTCAGCTTTGGCATGTAAGCATGAGAATTCTACTAGTACTCAAAGACCTTATATAATTAACTCTTGGAGATACACATGCAGCAGAAAGGAAAAGGAAAATTAATGGAATAAATGCTTTGCTCTGAATGATAATTTTTTATGAAATAATTTTAGCTTTTCTGTAGCTTCCTTTTGTTGGGTCTAATCATTAAACGAGGCTTTAGAAAAGTTTTTTTTTCTTTTGAGGTGAAGTCTTGCTCTGTAGCCCAGGCTGGAGTACAGTGGCGCAATCCTGACTCACTGCAACCTCTGCCTCCTGGATCCCGGTTCAAGCAGTTTTCCTGCCTCAACCTCCTGAGTAGCTTGGATTACAGGCATGTGTCACCATGCCCAGCTAATTTTTGTATTTGCAGTAGAGACAGGGTTTCACCATGTTGGCCAGGCTGGTCTTGAACTCCTGACCTCATGATCCACCCGCCTCGGCCTCCCAAGTGAATACAGGCGTGAGCTACCATGCCTGGCTGAAAAGTTTTTTAATTGAGCAGAAAGAATAGAAAATAGGGGCTGCTTCTATGAATGGATAGAGAGTGGGAGTGACAAAGAGTGGGAGTGAAAGTCCTTCCCTACTCAAGTTTAGAGCTAGGAAAAAATTCTATTTCAAAAATAATGGAGTGGCCAGGTGTGCTGGCTCACACCTCTAATTCCCGCACTTTGGGAGGCCAAGGCTGGTGATCACCTCATGTCGAGAGATCAAGACCAGTCTGGCCAATATGGTGAAACCTCGTCTCTACTAAAAGTACAAAAATTAGCAAGGCATGGTGGTGGGCTCCTGTAATCCCAGCTACTCAGGAGGCTGAGGCAGGAAAATTGCCTGAACCCAGGAAGCGGAGGTGGCAGTGAGCTGAGATCATGCCACTGCATGCCAGCCTGGGTGAGTGACAGAGCGAGACTCTGTCTCAAAAATAAATGAATAAATAAATAAATAAAGGGAGTAATATATTACTGCTTTTTTGTGGTTTTCTTTTAACTTTTTTTTTTTTGTAGAGACAGTGTTTCACCATCTTGGCCAGGCTGGTCTTGAACTCCTGACCTCGTGATCTACCCACCTCGGCCTCCCAAAGTGCTGGGATTATAGGCATGAGCCACTGCACCCTGTCTTTTAAAAAAATTTTTTTAATTTTAATTTTAATTTTTAATTTTATTTGTTTTATTTTTTTGAGACTGTCTTGTTCTGTTACCCAGGCTGGAGTGCATTGGCACTAACTCAGCTCACTGCAACCTCTGCCTTCCGGATTCAAGTGATTCTCCTGCCTCAGCCTTCCAAACAGCTGGGACTACAGGCGCACGCCAGCATACCTGGCTAATTGTTTTTGTACTTTTAATAGAGATGAGGTTTCACCATATTGGTCACCATATTGCACTCTTGACCTTGTGATCTGCCCACCTTGGCTTCCCAAAGTGCTGCATTACAGGCATGAGCCACTGTGCCCGGCCTATATTTTACTTTTTTTGAGGTGGAGTTTTACTCTTGTTTCCTAGGCTGGAGTGTATGGAGTGCAATGGTGCAATCCCGGCTCACTGCAACCTCCACCTCCTGGGTTCAAGCGATTCTCTCCTGCCTCAGGCTTCTGAGTAGCTGGAATTACAGGCACCCACCACCAAGCCTAGCTAATTCTTATATTTTTAGTAGAGACGAGGTTTCACTAGGTTGGCCAGGCTGATCTTGAACTCCTAACCTCAGGTGATCTGCCCACCTTGGCCTCCCAAAGTACTGGGATTACATGTGTGAGACACTGCTTCCGGCCTGCTTTCTGGTCTTGAAAAGAGAAAGTGGCTGCATGCTGTGGCTCACCCCTGTAATCCTAGCATTTTCGGAGGTCAGGGCAGGTGGATCTCAAGGTCAGGAGTTCAAGTCCAGCCTGGCCAACATGGTGAAACCCCATTTCTACTAAAGATATAAAATATTAACCAGGTGTGGTGGCAGCACGTGCCTGTAATCCCAGCTACTCTGGAGGCTGAGGCAGGAGAATCGCTTGAACTTGGGAGGTGGAGCTTGCTGTGAGCTGAGATCACACCATTGTACTCCAGCTTGGGTGATAGGGTGAGACTTTGTCTCAAAAAGACAAAAAATGAGAGAAAGGTATTTTAGGTTCTGCGAATTCACCTGTGAGTTTATTTAATTTGTATGTGGTATACTGATTGAACTTGCCATTCACTTTCCTTTCACTTCTCTACAGCTATTGTTATTTTCTTAAATTTTACTCAACGCTTTTTTTGTATCTGCATATTTTGAATAAAGTTTTTTTTTTCTGTTATAGGTATAGAATAAAAGATGATCTCACAACTATAAGACATTCTATTGTTGAAAAGCAGGGAGAATGGCATAAAAAGTGGAAAGAATTTCTTGTTTTGTCTCCTTTCAGTCTGATTAAAAGTTGGACTCCAGTAAGTAATATCGACTTGCCCCTCCCCCCCGCCCACCTTTTTTTTTTTGTTTTGAGACAGTGTCTTGCTCTGTTGCGAAGACTGGAATAGAGTGGCACTATCATAGTTGGCTGGAGTACAGTGGCATGATCATAGCTGGCTGGAGTATAGTGGCATGATTATAACTTGTTGTAACCTTGAACTTCTGGGCTCAGGCAATCCTCCTACCTCAACCTTTCAAGTAGCTGGCTCTATAGGTGTGCACCACCAAGCCTGGCTAATTTTTTCTTTAATTTTATAGACAAGGTTTCCCTGTATTGCCAAGGCTGGTCTTAAACTCCTGGGCTCAAGTGATCTTCCTGCCTCGGCCTCCCCAATGTGGTGGGATTACAGGCATGAGCCACTGCACTCAGCCAGTTTGTCTTTTGGAGAATAGTTTGATATATGGTAATTTATAAAGTTACTGTGTTACACATGACCTAGAAATGTTGTATGTCATCTTTGCATTTGAGTCTAAAGTTCACATGTATTCTATAATTTTTCTTTTTTTTTCTTTGAGACGGAGTTTCACTCTTGTTGCTCAGGCTAGAGTACAGTGGTGTGATCTCAGCTCACTGCAGCTGCCTGAGTTCAAGCGGTTTTTTTTTTTTTGCCTCAGCCTCCTGGGTAGATGGGATTACAGGCATGTGCTACCATACCTGGCTAATTTTGTATTTTTAGTAGAGATGGGGTTTCACCATGTTGGCCAGGCTGGTCTTGAATGCTTGACTTCAGGTAATCCACCCACATCTGCCTCCCAAAGTGCTGGGATTACAGGTGTGAGCCATTAAGCCCAGTCAGAAAACAGGACTCCTCTTAATGTGAGGTGCTATGACATTTGAGAAGTTCAGGGACTAAGTAATCTCCCTTGCTCCTAATACTCTGCTTTAAAAATACTTTACAGGGCTGGGTGTGGTGGCTCATACATGTAATCTCTGTTTTGGGAACCTGAGGCAGGAGGATCATTTGAGGCCAGGAATTGGAGACCAGCCTGGACAACATAGTGAGACCCCAACTCTACCCAAAAAAAACCCCCAAAACTGGGTGTTATGGTGTATCCCTGTAGGCCTAGCTACTCGAGAGGCTGAGGTGGGAGGATTGCTTAAGCTCAGGAGATTGAGGCTGCAGTGAGCTATGATAATGCCACTGCACTCTAGACTGGATGAGGGAGTAAGAACCTGTCTCTAAGATAAATAAATAAAATTATCTGATATATGCTTGGTAATTCCATCTGTCTTAGGGAGAAAATGATCTATTTATAGATTAACTCAGCATTGTTATTGTAGTTAGCAAATATGTTTACTTCAAAATTGTGAATTTCTGTTTTAAGTCTGTAGATCTTTTACCACCAATGTCTCCCCTTTCATTTGATCCTGCCTCAGAAGAAGTGTATGCAAAGAGTGTTCTTTGTCAGTATGCTGCTTCACTTCCAGGTTGGTTATTTATCTTTTCTCTTTTAAACCTCCGTCTTGTCATTCTTTCCCGTTATAATATTTATATTCTGTCTTTTTTTCTCCATTTTTTTATTTTGGTGAAATGCATATAACATAAAATTAACTATTTCAGTTATTGCAAAGTATATAACTCAGTGGCATTTAGTATATTTACAGTGTTGTGCAGTCATTATCACTATCTGGTTCCAGAACTTTTTCTTTTTTGAGACAGGGTCTCACTCTTGCCCAAGCTGGAGCACAGTGGCACAATCACAGCTCACTGTAGCCTTGACCACCCCAGGTTCAGGTGATCCTCCTCACTCAGCCTCTCATGTAGCTAGGATTGTAGGTGTGTGCCACGACACCCAGCTAATTTTTGTGTGTGTGTGTGTTTTTTGTAGAGATGGGATTTTGCCATGTTGCCCAGGTTGGTCTCGAACTCCTGGGCTCAAATGACTGACCTGTCTCAGCCTTCCACAGTGCTGGGATTATAGGCATGAGCCACTGAGCCCAGCCCCCAGATTATTTTCATCATCTCAAAGAAAACCCCCTAACCCATTAAACAAAAAACAAAAAATGAGAGTCAATTTCATTTTTCCTCTAGTCCCTGGCAGCCAGTAATGTACTTGTTTTTTTTTTCTTTTTTGAGATGGAGTCTTGCTCTGTCACCCAGGCTGGAGTACAATGGCACAGTCTTGGCTTACTGCAATCTCTGCCTCGGGTTCAAGCAATTCTTTTGCCTCAGCCTTCCAAGTAGCTGGGATTACAGGCATATGCCACTATACCAGGTTAATTTTTTTTGTATTTTTAGTAGAGACAGGGTTTCACCATGTTGGCCAGGCTGGTCTTGAGCTCCTGAGGCCTGCCTCGGCCTCCCAAAATGCTGGGATTACAGGTGTGAGCCACCATGCCTGGCTGAGTAAAATACTTATCTCTGGATTTGTCTGTTCTGGATATTTCATATAAATGAAGTCATACAATATGAGGCCTTTTGTTTCTGGCTTCTTTCACTTACACTGTTTTTAATTTTGCACAATGTTTTCTCAAACTGATTTCAAGCAATCTTCCTTTCTTGGCCTTCCAAAGTGCTGGGATTACAGGCATGAGGCGCCACATGTACAGTATTTTCAAGTTTTATACATCTTGTAGCATGTATCATCCTTCAATTTTTTAAAATCATATTTGTTCAGCTATAATTCACCTATTGAAAATGTACAATTTTCTTGGTTTTTGCTAAATTCACAAATAATGTGCAACCATCAGCACAATTGTAAACATTTTCATCACCTCCAAAAGAAAGCTCTTACCCTTTAGTTATCACCCCTAAATCCCTCTTCACTTCTCCAGTTCAAAGCAATTATGAAGATATTTTCTGTCTCTAGAGTTCCCTGTCTGGATTTTCATATGGATGGAATCATATAACATATAGACTTTGTGACTGGCTTCTTTCACTTAGCATAATGTTTTCAAAGTTCATCTAAGTTGTAGCACATATCAGTCAGTATTGCATTCCTTTTTATCAATACATGCCATTGTATGCCTCTACTACATTTCATTTATCTGTTCATCTGTTGATGAACATTTGGGTTGTTTTCACCTCTTGGCTGTTACAAGTATTGCTGCTATAAATATCTGTACAGGTTTTTTGTAGAAGCTCACCATTGTTTTAACATGAAAGAATAGTACAATAATTAACCCGAATATCTACCCCCGTTTCAACAATTAACATTGACCATATTTGCTTTATGTGTGTTTGTATATGTGTATATGCTAAACCAAGTAAGTTCTAGATACTGTGACACTTCACTCAAAGTGTTTCAGCGTACATTTTCATAAAAATAAGTATATTTTCCTAAATAACTACCATACTGTTATCACACCTAAAATAATTTCCACACTATTTAATATTCATTTTGCTCAGTTGCATAGTACTCGTGTACAAGACATTTTAATTAGGTTCAGTAAATAGAGGATAGTTAATTGAGGGAATGAATGAATGAAAAATTATATAGATAAATTGGAGGAGGTAATAGTTGTAGGCTATAGTTCAGTCAGGCGAAAGGTCATGACAGCAGTTAGCACAGGACTTAATCACTGGGATAGGTAATTGGTTTGAGAGTCTGGTATATTTGGGGAGTACACTGGTTGGAAAAGAATGTAGACCAGAGAGCAAGGCTCAGTTTAGGTACAACCAGAAGAGTCAACATAGAAAAAAGTCTGCGTGGGGCTGGGCATTGTGACTTAAACCTATAATTCCAGCATTTTGGGAAGCTGAGGTTGGAAGATTGCTTAAGCCCAGGAGTTCGAGACCGGCCTGGACAACATAGTGAGACCTACTTTCTAGAAAAAAATAAAAATTAGTGAGGCATGGTGGTATGTGCCTTTAGTCCTAGCTTTTCAGGAGGCTGAGGTGGGAGGATCATTTGAGCCCAGGAGTTCAAAGCTGCAGGGAGCTATGACTGCTCCACTGCACAATGCTCCTGCCTGGGCAAGAGTGAGACCCTATCTCTCTCTCTTTTTCTTAAATTTTAACTTAAAAATTTTTTTAAATTAAAAATAGTGTTATCCATGCTCAGGGGCCATGCTAATCTTCTCTGTATTGTTCCAATTTTAGTATAGGTACAGCTGAAGTGAGCACAAGAGACTGTTTTTTTTAAAAAAATAAAGAAAAGGCTGCCTGGTTTGATAAACGAAGAGCTTCAGATAGAGCATTCTGGTTCCATGGTAGCTTTGGACAGTCCTTAATTATGATAGAATTCTTCTGATAGGTCTTCATTTTGTTTTTATCTTTTTTTGATTTTATTTTTGAATTATTATTTCTCTCTCTTTTTAGATCCACTAGTCAACAGAGCTCTTGGCATTGTGTTATGTTTTTGTTTCAGCTGGAAAAGGGCTTTTGCACTCTTGCCCAGCTTAGTTTACCACTTTGAATCCATGAAATTTTCATGTCCATTTGGAGGTTTCTCTACTTACTTTTATACTGAGGGAAAATGTGTCTGTTTAGGAAGTCCAGTCAGAAGTTATATTCTTGGGAGTCCTTTTTTCTTTCCTAGTGTACAACCTTGATCTGAGTTGGGGTTCTTAAACATTATTTTATATTTTTTGTGGTAAAACAACCTTTTCTGCCTTCTTGTACCTTACATACTGCATTGTAATTTACTTTAAAAATGTTTTTAAGGCTGGGCGTGGTGGCTCCTGCCTGTAATCCCAGCACTTTGGGAGGCTGAGGTGGTCGGATCACTTGAGGTCAGGAGTTGGAAACCAGCCTGTCCAATATGGCGAAACCCTGTCTCTACTAAAAATATAAAAGTAGCCAGGCACGGTGGTACATGCCTGTAATCCCAGCTACTTGGGAGACTGAGGCAGGATAATTGCTTGAACCTGGGAGGCAGAGGTTGTAGTGAGCCAAGATCGTGCCACTGCACTCCAGCCTGGGCAACAAGAGCAAAACTCCATCTCAAAAAAAAAAAAAGATTAAAAATGTTTTTTAAAATTATATTTTAGCATATTGAAAAGTACACAGAATAATACACATACTTGTTTATTAAACACCACTTCTTGGGAAAGTTTTACAATCTTCACTTCAGATTTTTTAAAAATGTACAGATGTAGTTAATCCTTGGATCTCCACTTTCTTCAACTTTCTTACTGATTTCACTATTCTGAATCTAATCTTTGTTCTGATTATGTTTATAAAATAATTTTATTACATATATAGGCTTATAAACTATACATATCACTTTTCTTTCTCTTTTTTAAAATTTATAAATGAAATTTTTCTTACAATATTCCAAAAGGTCTCTTGTTAATGTTTGTATTTTTCAAACCAGGATCCAAGGAAGGTTGGTTCATTACATGTGATTGTTTTATTCTCTTAGTAACTTTTATTCTAGAATAATGCCTCCTCTTTTTTTGAATGACATTGATAGAAATTGTTCTTACTGTTTACTTTGTTTAAATTGACCAACATGATTAATGACTTTTTTGGTCTATTATTTTGTGTTTCTCCTTTTGAGAAGTGTATCTCAAAGCATATACTTAATTCTTGGACTCCAAATAGTAAAATTCTCAGTCTTTCTGTGAAAATGTCTTCATTTTCACTCATTTTTGAATGATAGTTTGGTTGGATATAGAATTCTAGGTTGACACTTACTTCTCTTTTGGACTTTGATGATATGATCTCATTGTTTTTTGTTGTTTCTGAGGCTATTTGCTGTTGGTCTCATTGTCATTCATTTGTAGTTAGGTGTGTGTTTTTTTTTTGTTGTTTTTTTTTTCAGACAGAGTGTCTGTCACCCATGCTGGAGTGTAATGGTGTGATCTCAGCTCTCTACAACCTTTGCCTCCCTGGTTCAAACAATTCTGCTTGAGCTTAGTGTGTAGCTGGGATTCCAGGCATGCGCCACTACACCTTGCAAATTTTTGTATTTTTAATAGAGACGGTGCTTCACCACATTGACCAGGCTGTTCTTGAACTGCTGACCTCAAGTGATCTGCCCACCTTGGCCTTCCAAAGTGCTGGGATTACAGGCATAAACCACTGTGCCTGGCCCATTCATAATTTTTTTTTTTTTTTGAGAGGGAGTCTTGCTATTGTTGCCCATGCTGGAGTGCAAGAGCACAATCTCTGCTCACTGCAACCTCTCCCTCCTGGATTCAAATGCTTCCCCTACTTCAGGCTTCCAAGTAGCTGGGATTACAGGTGTGTGCCACCATGCCTGGCTAATTTATATATTTTTAGTAAAGATGGAGTTTTACCACATTGGCAAGGCTGGTCTCAAACTCCTGACCTCATGTGATCTGCCTGCCTTGGCCTCCCAAAATGCTGGGATTACAGGCATGAGCCACCGGGCTCAGCCCATTTGTAGTTAGTTAATTTTTGATTTCTGGTTGCTTTTAAGGTTTTTCTTTGGCTGGGCATGATAGCTTATGCCTGTAATTCCAATACTTTGGGAGGCTGAGGCAGAAGGATTGCTTGAGCCTGGGAGACCAACCTGGGCAATATAGTGAGATCCTAACTCTACAAAAAAATACAAAAAATTAGCTGGGCGTGGTGTCACAAACCTGTGGTCCCATTTACTTGGGAGGCTGAGGTGGGAGGATGGCTTTAGCCCAGGAAGTTGAGGCTGCAGTGAGCCATTATTTTGCCACTGCACTCAGCCTGGGTGACAAAGCAAGACCCTGTCTCACCAAAAAAAAAAAAAAAAAAGAATTTGCCTATTTGTGGTTTGTGTGTGCTTATTTATTCTGAAAGCTCTTATCTTTCTTCAGTTTTAGAAACTTATTCACCAATATCTCTTATAATATTACTTTGTCTCTTATTCTTTTGATCCTTTCCTTCTGAAACTCCTGTTGTTGGGACTTCTGTCTTTCATTTCTTTTAACTTCTCATTTATATTTATAATTTTTTTGTATCTCATGGCTTCTTTCTAGGTATTTTCTTTAGATCTCTCTTATAACTGACTGATTATCTTTCAGTTATGTTTAATCTGCTTTTTGGCCTGTTTAGTAGTTAGTAGTCGTAGGTACGTACTTTTTACCTCTGTAAGCCTTACTTACTTCTTTTCTATAACTGCCTGTTTTTTATGGTGTCATCTTATTTCATTGTGGCTTCTGTTTCACTTTGGACATATAAAAATGGGGAAAGCCTTTCAGAAGGTAACATGTTGAAAAAGGTTGAGCCCTTGGACTGTCAGATCTTCTGTAATCCAGCCATGGCTTTCTCCACCAATCTTATTTCCCAGCATGCTTCCACTGGATATACCCTGTACTTCAGCATAGCAACTTCTATGTTATTCTTTCAGTACCTTCATGCTTTCTTCCCATCCTCAGTCTGGGCTGGATGTCTCCTCTGCCTCATTAAATTCTGTGTATACTTTTGTCATAGTACTGTATATGTACAGCATAACACTTGAGTCATCACTATCTTTTCCTAGACTGACTCTTTGGAGGCACAGTCTCCATCTTTTCTTTCCCATCATTAGTATGGTAGTAGCATGTAGTTATTCAGTTTTTCAGTCATAGGTTGAAGAATAAATATATAGGTTGACTGATATCATAAATGTGCACTGAAATATTCAAGACTATAACTTTTTGGCCTTGCTGGTTTTTTTTGATAATCTCATGAACTGTGTATATAAACATAAAGCATGTAACACTGGGGAATTAAGGGTCCTTACTCTTTGAGAAACTTGTTTTAGTAGTAGCCATCATTTCTTTTATAAAAGCTGGATATTGTCTTGTTATTTTTCTGCTCATCACTTTACGCTTATCAGTAGAAAACTATCTTTTCCTATTAGTGTGCATATGATTTTGATTTTTTTGTTTTTTTTCTATATAGAAGTTGTTCTAGAATTTCAAGAGATCCTTGAATATTAGAATGTACAAACAGAGTAATCAATTTTTAAATTTCTTTAGATACACATAAGCAACATAATCAAGAAAATGGTTGTAGAGGAGACAGTGATACCATGGAAACTCTACAAGATCTAGCCAACCGGTAAAACAAATTCGATTTTCTTTTGTTAAACATTAAAAAAAAATTTATTTTATAAAAAAATAGAGATGGAACTGGGTGTAGTGGCTTACTCCTATAATCCCAGTACTTTGGGAGGCTGAGGTAGGAAGATTGCTTGAGCCCAGGAGTTCTAGACCAGTCTAGGACTAGCAAGACCCTGTCTGTACTAAAAGAAAAAACAAAAGGTTTGGTCTTTCTAGGTTGCAGAGGCTAGTCTATAACTCCTGGCCTCAAAAGATCCTCCTGCTTCAGCCTCCCTAAGTGTTGAGATTATGGTCATGACCCCCTGTGCCTGGCCCAAATTTGATTTTTATATTGATATTTTTCCTATATTAATTTTATTTCCAGCTTAAACCAGTTTTCAAACTTACTTACTCTGGAATAATGCATAATTTTGCCTGGTTTATTTATTTATGAGCGAATGAATGAATAAGATGGAGCCTGCTCTTGTTGCCCAGGCTGGGGTACAATGGAGCAATCTTGGCTTACTGCAACCTCTGCCTCTTGGGTTCAAGCAGTTCTCCTCCTGGGTTCAAGCTACCTCCCAAGTAGCTGGGATTACAAGCGCCCGCCACCATGCCCAGCTAATTTTTGTATTTTTAGTAGAGACAGAGTTTTGCCATGTTGGCCAAGCTGGTCTCAAACTCCCGATCTCAGGTGATCTGCCCAACTTGGCCTCCCAAAGTTCTGTGATTATAGACGTGAGCCACTGCACCAAGCTCATTTTGCCCTTTAGCCAGATAGTAGTTTTCTACCATAGACCCACATTTTCAGAAAAGGTCCAACATTTATGGTACATGGGAGTTTTTTTCCCTTCTATTGTTTGTCTAAATATTGGGTTTCCATGGGGATTATTTGGAAATTATCTAATGCAAGTTTGGGAGTTTTTGCCTTTTTATGTGTGTGAACTTTTTTGAAACCACTCTATTGACAAGTCGAAATGTTTGGGGGCCTTTGAGGTAATCTTGTCCAGATAATTTTCAGGCTGTATCCTTTAATGCCATTTTATGTAGTGGATGAATCTAGCATAACCTGTGGCTGGTGTAGCTCTTTCCCACTTTAGCTTGGGCAACTTGCTCTTTTATATATATTATGTATTGGGGTGTTTGGTAAACTACTTGATAAGAAGAGTTCCATGCTTAAAAAGAATTTGGAGAATTTCTGATTTACTGTAACCCCCAGATTTAACATATGAAAAAAACTGAACTTTGTTCTAACTTCTTTCAGTAATATTCCTGTTTCCTTTATTGCCTGTTTTTTCTCCTCTATTATCCCATTTTGGACAGATTACAGATTATATAAGCAAAAAAAAAATCTGTGAACTCTATGTATGTAATCTGATTGGGGAGCATATTCTTTATTGAAATTAAACATTATTACATGCAATCCAACACAAACTTTGTTGGTTTTGTTTTTTTTTTTTTTTTCAACCTAAATAGGTGTCTTTCATTCCTACTTCCTTAAGTAGATGAATGAGAGACAGATGAAAATAAAATACTTAGGAAAATTATAAAAGGAAATCCTAAATTTTAAATGAATTGAAGCACTCATCATTCTATATATTCTTAGTAAGTTAATAAGCTGTAACACTATAACCAGAGTCAAAACTGTTTTTGTGAAATTGAGTTACTGGTAGTTCTGCAGTAATCTTCCAGTTCACAGCAGTCAGGACTAGTTGTGGAAGAACTGTGTTTTTAGTCTTATCTGGATTTGATGTTAGGTTTTTGAGTTCCTAAAGAAAAATAATGAAATCTTCTGTGAGGATCTGGTATTGAAGAGACAGTAAAGTTACTGGCCTATGTATTTTACACTCATATTACAATTGCTTTTATGGCAGGCTGGGTGAGGGTATGGTTGTTGCTTCCCAAGCTCAAGTATGTTTTTGGTTTGTTTTCCCTTGAGAGAGCAAATTAAGTATTTTGATTAAGATATTTTGCTGGACTAAATATTGATGGGGATACTAGATTAATATATATAGCAGATTTTATTTATGAACTCCATTAAACCTTAAGATTCTTATTTTTGGAGGGAGGGCCAGGTACGTGCATGTAATCCCAGCACTTTGGGAAGCCAAGGTGGGTGGCTCACCTGAGGTCAGGAGTTCGAGACCAGCCTGACCAACATGGTGAAACTCCGTCTCTACTACAAATATAAAAAATTAGCTGGTGTGGTGGCGCATGCCTGTAATCCCAGCTACTTGGGAGGCTGAGACAGGAGAATTGCTTGAACCTGGGAGGTAGAGGTTGCAGAGGTGAGGTTGCACCATTGCACTCCTGCCTGGATAACAAGAGTGAAACTCCATCTGAGAAAAAAAAAAGATTATTTGTTTTGAAGAATTTTGTGCCAAGATACACTATCAGAATTCTATAGGAGGCCAGGCGTGGTGGCTCACACCTATAATCCCAGCACTTTGGGAGGCTGAAGTGGGTGGATCACGAGGTCAGGAGATTGAGACCATCCTAGCCAACATGGTGAAACCCCGTCTCTACTAAAAATACAAAAATTAGCCAGGCGTGGCGGCACATGCCTGTGGTCCCAGCTACTCAGGAGGCTGAGGCGGAAGAATCACTTGAACGCAGGAGGTGGAGGTTGCAGTGAGCCAAGATTGCGCCATTGCACTCCAGCCTGGCAACAGCAAGACTCCATCTCAAAAAAAAAAAAAAAAGAATTCTACAGGAGACAGAAATGCCACTCCTAAGAATGTAGTTCAAAAGGAAACTCATAATATAGGAGAAAGAAGCTATATTAAATATACTTAGATTTCTACATCTGTCTTCCTCAAAGCCCCTGAATCTTTTATTATAAGCTCCTGATTATTTTAATGATGGATTTTAGATACTGACAGGAGGTAGGGGAAAGCCTGGTGAGGGATCAGTGCTTAATGGGATGTCAAAGATTATTATTGCTAGATAGTGGAATAGAACAGAAGGCCTATGAAAAGCTAAGTTACTGGGATGTGGAAGTAGTCTGCTCAAAATTCTTCTCTGTTAAAGGTATATGTAGTTAAATGTTCCATCAGTAATATGTAACACAGATGGACTGTACTTATGAAAGAAAATAATACCTTTTTTGCCTGTAGTTCAGCAGTTACACTATTTTATATCAGTAGCAATGTAGTTAACTGGGAAATTCATATGTGGATATGATCAATATAACTATTCAGTTAAAAAACATGGAAAGAATGTAGTTTTTAGGCAGTGTTACTGGCCCTATCACATGCAGTTATCATTCACGGATACTGAAAGATATGTAGTCTTTTCCATAAATCTCATTGCTGACTTTTTTTTTTTTTTTTTTTTTTTTTTTTTTTTTTTTTTTTTTGAGAGGGGTCTTGCTCTGCCACCCAGGCAGGAGTACAGTGATGCAGTCACAGCTCACTGCAGCTTTGACCTCCTGGGCTCAAGTGATCCTCCTGCCTTAGCTATCCAAGTAGCTAGGAGTATAGGCATGTGCCTCCACACCCAGCTAATTAAAAAAAAATTTTTTTTTGGTAGAGATGAGGTCTCTCTGTGTTGCCCAGGCTGGTCTCAAACTTCCGAGCTCAAGTGATCCTCCCATGTCAGCTTCCCAAAATGCTAGGATTTCAGATGTGAGCCACTGTGCCTGGCTTTCATTTCTGGTTGCAATCAGAGTGAGCTCATGGAAGCTTCATTATACTTAAAACCAGAATTCAGCAATTGGTGATGCCTTTGGTGTATACTCTGAGCATTATCTTTGCAATGGCTTTCTGTGTGTGTCTGTGGGTGTTCCATGATATTTCTAATGGTAACAACGCTGTTTTTCTAGACATCTAAGTTCTATGTTTTCTCCTCTACCATGTTTCAAAGATAAGAAGGGCAATATGATCTTGCATACACATCAGCTAAACATTTGTGTTAGAATTGAATTCTAGTCTCACATCTTTTCCTTTTTATAGTTCCTATTTTTATTATTCTCCTAATTATTGATATAACAACAATAGCAAATAAAAATGAGAAATAATTGGTTAAAATTTCTGAGGAATCACTTGTAAACTTTTTTCCCCCAAGTTCTTACCTAGGCCTGTATATCATCATATATATATTTAGCATGGTGGATCACGCCTATAATCCTAGCACTTTGAGATGCTGAAGCAGGCAGATCACCTGAGGTCAGGAGTTCAAGACCAGCCTGGCCAACATGGCGAAACCCTGTTTCTACTAAAACTACAAAAATTAGCTGAGTGTGCTGGTGGGTGCCTATAGTCCTAGCTACTCACGAGGCTGAGGCAGGAGAATTGCTTGAACCCATTGAACCCAGGAGGCAGAGGTTGCAGTGAGCTGGGATCCCGCCACTGCTACTCCAGCCTGGACAACAGAGTGAAAATCTGTCTCAAAAGAAAAAAAGTAGCTCTAATCAAAGCATGGATACAATCTAAATACAAATTTAATAATGCAAAATTCTAAGGTACAAAATTTTAAAACATTAACATAGTATAAACAGATGTGATTTTTTTTCTTGGCTGTGTGTATGTCTAGATAACATTCGCCAATTTTCATTGATAATGGCTTTGTAACACTGCATTTATTTTTAGACTTAATTTCCTCTCATTTTAATTTTTTTACTACTACAAAAGGTATGTCCCTTTTTTTTTTTTTTTACTCTGTGCTGTTCCGTTAGGACAAATTTCTGCAATGTGATCACTATCCTTTCTTCTCTTTTGTTACAGTGCTAGGATTTCACGGGCCTCAATCTTGGCATGGCAAAAGGATAAAGTATAAAGACTGAGCCAGGGCTTCTTTAAAGTTGTCTTAGATTGTGATGTTAACAGGTTTAATAGCATATTACCAGTTCAGAAATGAGAGAGGGGAGGGTATAGAATGTTTCCATTGTTCTCTGCTATAAGGTTCCACAAGAATCATTCAAATGGAAACACTTGTCACCTATAAGAACCCCATTCTCAAGTGGCATTTACTCATCGATTCCATCAGTCCATCAAACAGTTAACGTGTATGTATTGCACTACCAACCACTGTGTTAGTCCCTGGGAATAGGCTTAGGGAAAGACATAGCCTTTGTCCTTATCTTCTTGCAGTGGTGGCATCTTAGTGGCATTGGTCCATAGATTGCTGGCTCTGTTTCAGGGGGCTTTTTGATCATTTTAATGTAAAATTTCCCGCAAAATCTGGTAGATGATCACCCTTTGCCTTTGATATCTGGATCATATTTTGTCAATGCTAAGTTGAAGCTTGAGCAATTGCAGTGATTTTGAATTAGGTTTGGATAGGCAAAGATTCTAAGAGTGCATGTTTGAAAAAGTTTGAAAATTATATTTACTATGATATAAAATATTTGCAATGCTATTAATTTTGTACTTCTAGTTATAAGAAGACAGGAAAGCACCAGCATGCTGTTGAAAGTGGTAATCCTGTCTATTGTATTAACTAGAGTAGAAAAACTAGGTTTTTGCATTTTAAAGGTCTTTAAAGATCAAAGTAAAAATGTTACCATTTCTTTGAAGATTTTAAAATTTAATAACATTTTACAATTAGCATGAAAAGATGCATAAAGTTTTAATATTTATCCAAAAGGGCAAGGGAATATAAAAGATTAAGAAATACAATGTGGCAAACAAAAATTCTAACCTTATGATGTTACTGTGACATGTAACATATTTGCTATAGAGCAAAAAATTTAGCATATGATTTTGGACATGAAGCTTCAAAAGAATCTTAAAAATAAGTCTCTGGCTAGGCCGGGCATGGTGGCTGACGCCTGTAATCTCAGCACTTTGGGAGGCCCAGGCGGGCGGACCACCTGAGGTCTGAAGTATGAGACCAGCTTGGCCAACGTGGAGAAACCCCATCTCTACTAAAAATAGAAAATTAGCCAGGCTTGGTGGTACATGTCTGTAATCCTAGCTACTCAGGAGGCTGAGGCAGGTAGCTTGAACCCAGGAGACGGAGCTTGTAGTGAGGTGAGATATCGCGCCATTGCACTCCAGCCTGGGGAACAAGAGCAAAACTCCATCTCAGAAAAAAAAAGTTTGCTACAACGAAACTGTGATTTGGACCCTGTGACATTGTAATAATGCAATTCTAGTTAATTGAATCTGTTTTTAACCTGTGTTCAAGTTTTGGAGTGTTAACATTAAGTCATTTAACCCTTTCAAATAAAAATACTGTTGACTCGGTATGTGGTAAGTAAAGTCTTCGTAATTGGGAGGCTGATACACAAATTGGGCTGCAATACTGCTCTATTTGTCACCATGCCTCCCTAGAATAAACTAACTGACTTTTGATGACCGGGACGAATTGAGTGAAATCGTAACGGACAGATACGGGGCAGACAGTTTTTTTAGAATAGTTAGACTCGTAAAGGGAATGGAATTCCTTCCTCCTTATAACTTGGATTTGTTGTCTTTTTTCCTTTTAGCCCTGCCTCTTTCTTGTTGCAGTCAGTTTTGCCATCAGATAGGAATAATGTTACACTACTTGAAAAGGTATATTTTAAAATAATTCTCAATTAATTGTGACCATACTAAATTATAAAGTATTATTTATTTTTGTTGATACCATAGTTAAATTTAATTTCTGTTTTCACATTTTCTAGTATTTGTGCCATATCTACTTATATATTTCTTACTGCTAAGTGGGAATATTGGAATTAGTTAATTCTGCAAGTGACATACAATTTCACAATAATATTAATAACCTTTTATAGGTTCATGAGAACCAGTGAACTGCTAATGAAGTAAGCTTGAAGATCAGCCGTGATCATTAAGGGTTTAACATTACATATCTGTCTTCTTCAGGACACAAAGATGAGAACTCCCAAAGAAAAAAACGAAGCAATTTCTAAGAAAACACCGGAATTTGAAGTGGAAAATTCTCCATTATCAGCTATTGCAAAGAATACAGAGAGTAGTGCATTTGGAGGGTCTCTGCCAACTAAAATAAGTGATTCATTTCAAAAAGAGCAAGATCATCTGGTAGAAGAGGTGAGAAAAGACTATAATGAATATACTTAAATATCCAATGATGGGCACACTGCCTCATGCCTGTAATCCCAACACTTGGGGATTACAGTTAATTATTGATTACCTGGAGTAATATGGGATAAAGAAGGCTATGGATCATAAAAATTATGGTTAAAGCAAAATTAATGTGGTGCAAATTGTAGTAGGGAGGCAGAGGCTCAGGGAGGCTGTTACAAGAGGAAAACTTGAGCCCAGAAGTTCAAGACCAGCATGGGCAACATGGCAGAACCCATCTCTACAAAAAATTTAAAAAAAAAAACAGTTGAGCATGATGGCACCTCTGAAGTCCCAGCTATTTACTGGTGAGGCTGAGGTGGAGGATCACTTAAGCCCAGGAGGTTGAGGCTGCAGTTAGCTGTGTTGGCACCACTGCACTCCAGCCTGAGTGACTAATGGAGACCCTGTTTCAAAAAACAAAAACAAGTTATTTTCTCAATGGTGTTGGGATCCTAAGTGAAATACAGTTAATTATTGATTACCTGCAGTAATATGGTGTAAAAGAGGCTGTAGATAATAAAAATTATGGTTAAAGCAAAATTGATCTTCCCCAAAAGTAGGAATAGATGTAATATAAACTTATTTAGTTAGTATTACATCTGTGGTTTACAACCCACTTTCCATTCTTTAAATATTACCTGGAGGTATACAAATGATACATTTGAGATATTTTGGAGATTAACCATTGCATAGTTAGATAAATGTACCCAGTGTTTATACTCTATTAAAATACTTTATCACTGTTGTTTGTTGCTTAACTGAGTTTCCTCTTTTTTGGAATATTAGAACACACTGCAGTATCATATCTCTGAGTGCAGGTTTTGTTCCTTTTGTTGTCTAAAATATTTCTGACGTGATTAGATACATTGTTCATTAGCTTGATTTTCCTAACTAGCCCCATCCCTTAACACTATTCTGCTTTTCACTGGTAAGTGACCACGTAATACCACCATTGCTCAGTATTACAGAACTCAGTTTACCCAAATTAAATCCTGAAGTTATTCACTAATATTTTTAATACATGTTTCCCACAACATGCTTTGCATTGCTTGAATTTGATTAAGCAGCCAGAAAATCAGTATTAACTTTTTATTCCTGAGAGACTGAAAGAAAAATTTGGTTTAGTGGATATTATTAATTCAGGTATTGGAGTTCCCTCCTTTATTGCATTCCTGATCAAACTAAGTGAACATTGTCCAAATAAGAACTGGATGTCAGTCATTTTTTCTTTTAAGACAGGGTTTTGTTCTGTCACCCAGGCTGGAGTGCAGTTGTGCAATTATAGCTCACTGTCAACTTGAACTCATGGGCTCAAGGGCTCCTTCCTTCTTAGCCTGTCAGACAGTTACGACAACAGGTGTGCACCACTTTGCCTGGCTGTTTTTTGTTTTTTGTAGAGTTGGAGACTCACTTTTTTGCCCAGACTGGTCTTGAACCCTGAGCCGAAGTGATCCTCTAGCCTCATCCTCCCAAAGTGCTGGGATTATAGGCTTGAGCCACCATGCCTGACTGGATCAGTCATTTTTCTTCTTTGTAATCTGAGGTCTAGTTTCATGGTCCCTAAGTCCTTTTAAATCTCTAAACAATATTCTGTTGTTTCTTTTCATTGACTCTACACTAAAGAAAAGTCAGTAGTTTTTACTTTCCTAATTTTGAAAGGAAAAACACATTTTCTGGTTAAAATAATTTATATTAGCAATGGGATCAGATAGGCGAGGAAAGTCTTAAAATCTCATGAGGCTCTGAAAGTAAAATGAAATTAATTTTCTTTAAGAGTGTTTATGACAGGTGATATTCAGTATTTGAATTCCCAGAAGCACTTTGTTTTTGTGAGGGAGAAGCCCTTTATTTTCTTGGGCCAATTATGGCTTCAAGAAGTTTATTTTTTAGTGATGTCAGGGGGCAGAGTTTTTAATTTGCATGTTTTATTTTCAGTTTTATTGATGGTTAATAGAGAGCACTATTATGATATTACATACTTTTCCATGTTTTAGAATGTATCTCTGCTTCTTTCATTAATTTAGATCTGTTAATGAGGTTTCTGGCAAAGAGGTCTGTTGTCAGAATGATTTTATTTCTTAATAGAGGTGTTACTGTGCAAATTAATTATAATTGAGAGAAGAGTGCTTCCTTTAAAGCTAGTCATTTTAGTGAATACAGAGCTGTCAAGCTCAAAGTTGTGGCAGATAACAGCCTAGGTCATTGGGCGATTAGAACTGCCCCTAAATCTTCCCAGTGTAAAGATTGTTATCCGGCCAGGCACGGTGCCTCACGCCTGTAATCCCAGCACTTTGGGAGGCTGAGGTGGGTGGATCACGAGGTCAAGGATCGATACCATTCTGGTCAACATGGTGAAACCCCGTCTCTACTAAAAATACAAAAAAAAAATTAGCTGGGAATGGTGGCGCGTGCCTGTAATCCCAGCTACTCAGGAGGCTGAGGCAGGAGAATTGCCTGAACACAGGAGGCGGAGGTTGCAGTGAGCCGAGATCGCGCCATTACACTCCAGCCTGGGTAACAAGAGTGAAACTCTGTCTCAAAAAAAAAAAAAAAGATTGTTATCTATTCTTTCCTTTATATGGGCTCTCCATTTAAGATGAGGAAATACTTTAGAGTATCATTTCACTTAACAGGATTGTACCTAGATGGTCTATACAGAGTTGTCTGGGAACTTCTTTGTTGCTTATTTTTGTGCTGTCTGCAATGGGAGGGGCTGCTGACCATGAAGTGCTTATTAGGGTTTTGTTGCATTCTACCAGCGGGCTTGGTAATCTTTGCTTTACTTTTTCTTTTCTGATTTAGGTTGCCAGAGCAGTTTTATCTGATGCACCACAGTTCTCTGAAGGAAAAGAAGTAAAATTAGAGGAATTAATTGAATCTCTGGGTTCTAACCCCTTCTTAACAAGTAATCAGATTCCCCGCACTCCAGAAAACTTGAGTAAGTTAATAATGCTTTCTGTAACTCTTTTTTCTTTCTTTTACATTACCACTGGTAGAACCTTGGCCTGATAGATCTTTTTAGCTTAGTTGGCAATGACTTTTTTTTTTTTGAGACAGAGGTTTTTCTTTGTTTTTGAGACAGAGTTTTGCTCGGTCGCCAGGCGCCGGGCTGGAGTACAGTGGTGCTGTCTCGGCTCATTGCAACCTCCACCTTCAGGGTTCAAGCAATTCTCCTGCCTCAGCCTCCCAAGTAGCTGGGATTACAGGTGTGCACCACCACGCCCAGCTAATTTTTGTGTTTTTAGTAGAGACAGGGTTTCACCATGTTGGCCAGGATGGTCTCCATCTCTTGACCTCATGATCTGCCCGCCTCGGCCTCCCAAAATGCTGGGATTCCAGGCGTGAGCCACCGGGCCTGGCAGCAATGACTTTTTATTTATGCTGCTGTAAGGCACTTTATCAACATACTAAGTATGGGCATTCTCACGTTAACAGTCTTTTAGCAGTATTTTGTGCCTTTAGTGTACTCATTATACAGAGATACAACATTTTGATAATACGCAATTTTGTTTTTGTTGTTTTACTTGGCTTTTATCTAGAAAGATCTTATTTGAGCATTAAAAAAATCTCGGCCAGGTATGGTGGCTCACACCTGTAATCCAAGCACTTTGGAGGCCAAGGCAGGCGGATCACCTGAGATCTGGAGTTCAAGACCAGCCCGGCCAACATGGTGAAACCCCGTCTTAAAAAAAAAAATCTCTTGTCTCCAGTTCTGACCTGTTATCCACATATTTATAGAGTACAGAGGCTATGTTCTTACAGTTATCAACAAGAAGCATCAGCCATAAACCCTTCTAAATGAGTCAAACTGCCCAATACCTTTTTCCCCATAACCTGTAATTTGTGTAGGGAAAGTTCTGATATTGGTGTCCTTAGGAGGCACATCATCTTGGTTGTGTAATTAAATAATTTCTGTTTTGCTGTTGATTTAATTCAGTTTGAACTGAGCCACAGCCTAGGTCAGAAACTATAGCCTCTGAACCAAATCGGGCCTAATTTTGTGTGTTTTTGTAAATAAAATTGTATTGAACATAAGTGTATTCATTTGTTGACATTGTTTATGGCTACTTTCATGCTGTCATGGCAGAGTTAAGTAGTTAGACAGAATGGATGGCCTGCAAAGCCTTAAATATTACTATCTGGCCCTTACAGAAAATGTTTGTCAAACCATGGCCTAGATGGACAAGAAAATTTCTTTTTAATACATGCAATTCATATGTGCTATGTAAAAGTTGATGCACATTTCAGGAACATCTGTCTTTATATGTGTTTATTTGTGTGTGATCAGTTGGAGATGGGGTTCTTTGATGGTGGGATTTGTTATATCGTGGAGCCTTGTCATCCAACCAGTATATTTATAGAACACATACTGAGTCAGGAGCTTTATCTTCAGTGTTAGAAATAAAATGATTCATTGCATGTTCTGTGTTTGGGAATGTTAGTAAATTGTGTTTTCTTCCCTTTTAATTAGTAAATGAAATTAGGAGTTCATGGAGAAAAGCTATTGAAATGGAGGAAAACAGAACTACAGAACCAATTCAAATGGATACTGAGCATAGAGAAGTATTGCCAGAATCATCTTCTGTGTTGCATGATCAAAGAGAAGTTAGCATGGCCGATTTTCTCTTTGAAACCACTGTATCAGATTTTGGCCAGTCTCATTCGACTGAAGAGAAAGATGTTTCAGATTGCAAGTGTGTGCTTCGGAAACATGTGGTGACCAGTCACATAGATGAACCGCTAACACAAAATCAGTCAGGTTTGTTAAATAAGAAAGTAATTTGCAAGCAAGATTTGGAATGTACAGCCTTAACCAAGCTTTCAGAAACTAGCCAAATGGAGACACTCTCCCCTGCTGTTGGCAACAGGATAGATGTGATGCGTGGCAGTGAAGAGGAGTATACTAAAACACTGGACCACTTGCAAGCTTCTTGTAACAAGCCTTCCACAAATAAAACTGCCTTGTGGAACTCTTTCCAGATATCAAGTGGAATTAGTTCTGAGAGTTTTAAAGATACTGATTTTGGCATATTACATGAAACTCTTCTGGAAGAAGGTGGTCACCTAAGTTTTAATAGTTCCAGTAGTTCAGAGGCCAATTTTAAACTGGAGCCAAATAGTCCTATGCATAGTGGCATTCTTCTAGAACATGAAAGGAGACAGACTACTCCAGAATCAGACTTCAATATTCAGGCTCTTTGCAGTAGATATGAGGCTCTAAAGAAATCGCTTTCCAAGAAAAGGGAAGAATCTTACCTCTCGAATCCCCTAACACCTGAAAGACACAAACCAGTATCGAGTCCTGCTACCCAAGATGTACAAACAGAGGATGTGCTTAACTTTTTGGACACCCATGATTTGCATACTGACCGTACAAAGCCATCATTATGCATGTCCATTGGTAAAAGAAAACAGTCTCTTTCACCACTAATTAAGTTTTCTCCAGTGGAACAAAGATTGAGGACCACAATATGTAGTCTTGGAGAACTACCTAATTTAAAAGGTAAGGTTTAACTAGACCTATGCATATGCACTTGTTGAAGTTTTCTCTCAACTTTTGATAAAACCAATACATAATGAATGCTGCATGACCTTTATTGGTTTTTTTCTTTTCTTTTCTTTTTTATAGAGACGGGGTTTCACCATGTTGGCCAGGCAGATCTCGAACTCCTGACCATAAGTGATCTACCCGCCTTGGCCTCCCAAAGTGCTGGGATTACAGGCATGAGCCACCATGCCCGGCCGACCTTTATTGTTAATGTGCTCCTCCTTTCTTCATCTAGGATGAAGGGAACAATCCCTTACTGTAAAGGTCCTTTCAGAATCTCTGTTGATGTATATATAGTTACAATTGATTTGGGATGAGGGTGGGGAAAAAAGACCCCCAACCTGAAGCTACTGGTTTTATAATACAAATGACTGAAAAGGTAAATGTTATCAAAATCTTGTCCAGTGGAAGGTGGTTTTTAGAAAGTTGAGAAACACAGTTTTAAATATCATCGTTGTAATGGTGTAATATCTCTTATTTCCTTTGAAATAAATTTGTTGGGAGTGGGGAGTAGAAATAAAAGAAGCCAGGTTAGTACATTAGTTTCCTAGCCTGTCATAACCAAGTACCATAAAGTGGGTGGCTTAGAACAGCAGAAGTTTATTGTCTCTGGAGACGTAAGTCCTACAGGCTAGATGTCCAAAATCAAGGCGTTGAAAGGGCATGTTCCCTCTGAAGCCATTAGAAGAGGATCCTTCTTTTCCTCTTCTAGCCTCTGGTAGCGCCATGCATTCCTTGGCTTGTGGCAGTGTAATTTCTAACCATTGCCTCCATTGTCACATGGTATTCTCCCCTTGTGTGTCTATGTGTCTTAGAAGGACACAGTCATATTAGCTAATTAATGGGTCACCCTATTCCAATATGACCACTTCTTAGCTAATTATATCTGTAATGACTGTATTTCCAAATAAGGTCACATTCTGAGGTACTGGAGTTAGAACTTCAACATATGTTTTTCGGGGACACAATTCAGTCCTTAACAGTATTAATAAATATTGAAGCTAGGAGTTAATCTTACTTTTCTTCACTTTTTGTATGTTTGAACATTTTCCTCATAAAAGGCTAAAAAAATTGCTCTTATAGCTCATTAGGACTGATAAGGATCTGGTGATAGAGATTTATTACATATCACTCTGATGTGCCCATAATAGTTATACACTATTACATTGAAAAGTATTTGGCTGGGCACAGTGGCTGATGGCCTGTAATACCAGCACTTTGGGAGGCCAAAGATGGGAGGATTGCTTGAACCCAGGAGTTCAAGATCAGCCTTGGCAACACAGGGAGACTGTATCACTACAAAAAATTTAAAAAATTAGCTGGGTATGTTGGCGCATGACTGTGGTCCCAGGTACTCAGTAGGCTGAGGTGGGAAGATGGCTTGGGCCTGGGAGTTTGAGGCTGCAGTCAGCTATGATCATGCCACAGCACTCCAGCCTGGGTCATAGAGCAAGTCCCTATCTCAGGGAAAAAAAAAAAGTATTCTAGGAGGAATGTATTGATCTTTGGAGAAAGAGGGTACTTTGGAGAGAATAATAGTAATTTTATCATAATTTAGTGTTTGCTACTGCTTGGAATCTGTCCTATTTGTTTTCTTTGTAATGTTTGCTTATACTTTACATTTTTTCTTTTTTAAATCAATTTACAGAAGAAGACATTTTGAATAAGAGCCTTGATGCAAAAGAACCTCCATCTGACTTGACAAGTTGAAGACATACCTATTTAATATGACTATGATGCACTTAAATTGAAGCTATGCCACAGGATAGAAACTGATTTATAACTTAAAGACATGTTGGAAGTGTAGCACTGTTTTTCAAGGTTTTAAAAAAATTCCAAATGCCTTTTAGCCTTCTTTAATATTTTTAGGTAAGGAAAGTATGTTTGGATTTTTTTTTTTTTTTGTACGTGTATGAGATTGAAATGTGAAGTATTTGGAAAGCAAATGTCAAGGAATGGGAAGTCATTTTGATTTCTTGAGTAATCTTGTAAGCATTAAGCATAAATGATAATGTACTAGTGTAATTCTTATAACTTAAGTCAGTTACTATAAGGATGAGTACTTTTGTATGTTCACTAAGTGGTTAATAGCCATTGAATATACTAATCTTTTACTGTTTCTTTGTGGAACATTCTGGCTAACCAGAAAAAGTGAGAAAAGTAGTGCCTTGGGAGGTGTAGTGAAGATGACAAATTTTAAGACTGGAAAAGCTCTAAACAGGCTTCATGATTATTGAAGTGGAATGATCCCAAGTAGTGATGTTTAGTAGAATAAAGTGCATTTGATTATTAAGTGAAGACTGGGGTGGAATGATTTAAAAAAAGGAAAAAGATGGAAGAAGATGAGTAGACACTTGCAAGGAACACTGTCAAACTATAAATCCATCCAGCGGGTTGTATAACATTTATGTTTAGTCTAATTTAGACTTCGATAATTTAATCCTAGTTTAATATTTTAACAAAAAATATAAATTAAAGTTTTCATTAGTCTGTTTTATTGTTGTTGGGTTTTTTTGAGGTACCCCATGTTGGAGGAGAGGAACAAGGAACAATCATCAAAATTCCTCAGTCCCTACAGAATAGCCTCACAATAACTTGAGAAAACGGGACTTGGAGTTAAATACTTTGTCACGCTGGTACAGTCTCCTACCTCATTCCTTCAGATGCCCTGCCCGGAGAAAGACTTGTGTCTAGCATCTAAGTGAACACATACTGTCATCCTCTGTAAACCAGGAGGAATGGATCAGGCACTGGAAGGGTGATCTTACCTACCGTGCCCTTCGTAGACCCCATCTCACAACCATCAAAATCTTGTCCACTAGCCCCCAAGGAACTGGCAAGGAGAGAAGGTGGAGGGGAAATTTATGGAAGTATGTGGCTTAACAGTCATCTTTCTTCACTTATCTTGGGCTACCTGTCTCTATGTTGTTTGTCCCGTCCCAGTGTGAAGACTCATCTTTTTGTGAGAAAAGACAAAAGAAAGCACGTGTAACTGCCTTCTTTGTAATGGAAAAGGAGGAATAAAAAGCTTCATGAACTAAGTTGCTGTCTTTTATTAATACAACAAATCAGGTACTCTGCTGGTCTATGGGGAAACTATTCTTTAGTTTGCTTTAAGAAAACTTAGGATCTGAAAATCTTAGCATGTAAGGCTGTCTTATCAGCATCTGCAGAAGTGCGATGGCCATTGCTAGACACTTAATATGCATTATTTCACTTAATTATATTTTTAAATATGCTTCCCTGGTAATTCTTAAGCTCAACAAAGAGTGAGAACTGCTGCTAGGAAATAGAAATTCACATTTAACCCTGTGGTACTTTTAAGAAGCAGGTACATAGTTGCATATATGCTTCGGTAGAGATTGTTAACCATCAATAGGGAAGCTCAATTTTGCCAGTCAAGTCTGAGAAGCCCTTAATTACTGAGAATCAAAAGAGCGGAATGTCTGTGGACATTTTAAATTTGTTTTAAAAAAATGTTAAGTGAGTTATACCTGATAGGCTGAAAGTTTTTGACATTCTTTCCTGTTCTTCCTGTGCCAGTACCATAAACAAAAATTATCTCACATTTATCACTTTCTTCTCCTAAACCACTGTGATTGCAGCTTTTTGCCTTCAGCCTTTTCCCTATCCAGTATCTCCTGCATAGTTGCCTTGTGATCTTAAGGAACTGTTTTGACTGGGTCACTTCCTTGCCTGAAATTCCATTAATGGTTCATTGTTAATTCTAGAATTGAGTTCAAATTTAAAGACATGTAAGATCCCTATAATGGATTTTGTCTATTCCCCCTTCCACTGTAATCTCCCATTTTTTTACTGAACTGCTTCAATGAACTTGGGTCTTAAGAAACCTTGACTTACAAGTCTCCTGAGGCAGGAATACCTTGCCTTCCTCTCCTAGCTTACCACAATTACAACTCTGTTTTGAGTCTCAGAACAAATCTGACTTCCACTTTCAAGTCTTAATCTATGCTTTTTATATCCATGTGCCTACTCCTCCTCTGAAATCTATGATTTGTCTTTTTATTCATTTAATATTCCACTACTTTTATATTTTTTTTATGGTTGCATGTGGTCTCTCTAGTTACAGCAGTGCATACATAAATACATATACACCTATGTAAATGCGTGTCAGGTGTATGCATTCACACACATACATATACCCCAAGGGCCATGTGTCATCTTTAGCAATATTTAAGTATTGGAATTGTTTTGTTTGCCTCCTATATCATGGAATAAAAGGTAAAGAGGGCTAAGTTATTGCTGTAAGTGTATTTTTCATTACATTAACATTAGACATATAGAATGTATTTTGTTTTATTCACTATTTGTAAGATACAAAGGTGTATAAACTGACTTCTACATCAGCTTGAAAACCTAAGATAATGCTAAAATGTTTTAGTTATTTTAAATGTTTAAAGAGGCCGGGCGCAGTGGCTCACTCCTGTAATCCCAGCACTTTGGGAGGCCGAGGCGGGTGGATCATGAGGTCAAGAGATCGAGACTATTGTGGTCAACATGGTGAAACCCCGTCTCTACTAAAAATACAAAAAATTAGCTGGGCATGGTGGCGCATGCCTGTAATCCCAGCTACTCAGGAGGCTGAGGCAGGAGAATTGCCTGAACCCAGGAGGCGGAGGTTGCGATGAGCTGAGATTGTGTCATTGCACTCCAGCCTGGGTAACAAGAGCGAAACTCCGTCTCAAATAAATAAATAATAAATAAATGTTTAAAGAGGGAAGTGTATAATATTGCTAAACATGAAAAATGTTATCAAGTAGAATAAAAAATAGTTGAAGTTAACATTTGGGGGAAATTTAACTGAAAAAAAAATACAAGTATTTTGAAACCTTTTCTTTACTGTAAGTCTCTTGACTTTGAAGTCAAATTTATCTAAAGGAAAAACAGGAATTCTGGAGACCTGTATAAAAGCTATTATTTTCCTACTCTTGAGTGTACTAAAGTTAAAATACATTGAATGATGTTTTCCTCAATGTACGAAGTATTGAAGTAAATGTTTCTTTTGTGCTATGTTGCAGATACATAGTTACTCTAGAAGTGACTTTTTCCTTAGGCACTGTGAATAGCAAGTCTGCATCCTATGTTTAAAATATTTGAGAATCCTCTATAGGATTCTTAGTAAATGTTTTAAATACTGTTGTTTTCAATAAATATATTATCTGGCTCTGGAATTTCCTATGTACTATCAAAAAGAACTATGTCCCTGCAAAGTGTAGGATGATGACATATAAAGGTATATTAATAACCTCATCTACAAAATAAATTTGAGAGGTTCAGTGATTCAGGTAAACATACTTTGTTACTGCTATTTTAATTACTAGATTTACTGTACATAGTATTTTAAAATGACTTTTAAAAGTATATCTATAGCATCAGTTTTCTCATCTGGAGTCTTTATACTAATTTACTGCCAATGACCCTAATTAAGTAATATTTATAAATTAATACCTGAATAGCTTCTTCTTCTTCATGAGTGGTGTCATCCACGTCTGCTGCTAGAAAGGGTTTAATAAATATTAAAGAATTTTATAAAGCCTTAGAAATTCTAAAGCCCTATCTCTTACATTTATTGCCTATACAAAGATAGCACCTAGGGTGTAAAATGAGAGGCTTAGAGTTGATCACAGGTCTCTTGGCTCTAAAGTACTTAGATTTCTTTTCTGTCTATAAGGCAGCTATTGCTGGAACTGGAATGGGACCTTTAGATATGTTTTCCGATTTTACTACACCACATTGCCAATCCAAATTAGGAACCTCAGAATCCTTCCTCAAAAGTAGGTGATCTAAGAATCTGGTTCAGTATTATCCAATTTCCAGATAAATACAAATGGGAACGTGATCTTGCCCCATATAAGTGAAATTCTTCCTTGAGGGAGGTTGCTTGCTTAGCTTCCTGGGTTTCGGCTTACTCTTTGTAAATTTGGAATTATATGAAGGAATAATGTATATCTAAAAAGCTGGGACCCATCACCAGTGCTGGTCTGTGCATGCAAGTTATAAGAACAAAAAAAAAATGGCCAGGTGAGGTGGCTCACGCCTGTAATTCCAGCACTTTGGTAGGCCAACGCTGGCAGATCACTTGAGGTCAGTAGTTTGAGACCAGCCTGGCCAGCATGGTGAATCCCCGTCTCTACTAAAAATACAAAAATTAGTTGGGCATGTAGTCCCAGCTACTTGGGAGGCTGAGGCAAGAGAATGGCTTGAACCTGGGAGGCAAAGGTTGCCATTAGCCTAGATCATGCCATTGCCTGGGCAACAGAGGGAGACTCCATCTCAAATAAATAAAAAGCTAGGACTCTTAGGTTAACTTTTCAGTGGAAGTAATGGGGTGTAATGATTAGGAGAGTCAGTAGTCAGATTGCCTGGGTTTAGCTGTATGACCTTAATAAGGTCATAGCAGTTTGCTTATCTGTTAAAATAGAAAGTAACCTACCACATAGATTGTGAGGATTCAGTAAGATAAATGCACACGTGCTTAAGAACACCTGACATTGCTGGGCACAGTGGCTCACACCTGTAATCCCAGCACTTTGGGAGGCTGAGGTGGGCAGATCACCTGAGGCTGGGGGTTGGAAACCAGCCTGACCAAAATGGAGAAATCCCATCTCTACTGAAAATACAAAATTAGCTGAGCATGTTGGCAAAACACCTGACATTTTGTAAGGGATTAAATATTCAAATAAGTTTCACATCAGTAATTTGGGGAAGAATGGCTCAGTAGGTGGTAATGGTAGTTAACACATAGACTGAGTATGCCCTAGGCACCATTCCTAAATAATTTTCATGTTGAATTTAATCCTTTTAACAATCCTATCAAGTGTTTTTTGTTGTTTTTGAGATAGGCTCTTGCATTGTCAACCAAACTGGAGGGCAATGATACAATTATGCCTCAATGCAGCCTCTCCCTCCTGGACTCAAGCAATCCTCTTTCCTCAGCCTCCCAAGTAGCTAAGACTGTAGGCAAGCACCACTATGCCCAGCTAATAAAAAAAATTTTTTTTTTGTGGAGACAGGGTCTCACTATCTTGCCCAGGCTGGTCTTGAACTCCTGGTCTCAGGTGATCCTCCCAACTCAGCTTCCCAAAGTGCTGGAATTACAGGCGGGAGCCACCATGCCTGGCTATGAAGTAGTATTCTGAGCCATATTTCACAAATAAGGATAAAAGTGTAGTGAAATTAAGTATTCTGCCCATGTTCAGAGAGCTAGTAAGTGAAGGGACCAGAATACTGACTCAGGTAGTCTAGCTTGAGTACACAGCATAAGTACTTCTACAGCTGTTACCAAACATCACTAAAGTGCTGAGGGCTAAACTCACAAAATCAAATATGCCACTTAATCAGTACTTGTGGGCAGTCAGAATCTTTAGATTTACATATTAAGCACTTTAAAGTTATTTCAAATAAGACCATGTTTTAAATTGCTAACATGTTTATTCATGAATGAAGCCAAGAAGAATTTATAAATGCATTTTAATACCTTGCTGATAAAATAGTAACATTCCATCTTTGCAATCTGATATGGAATACAGGAAGACACTGGTAAAGGCTTTGATGTGCATATCTATTATAACCAGGCAATCAGAACACACACGAACCACCGACTTAGTGTTACACCATACCATCTTCTCAGAAGGGCCAGCTTCAAGCTCTACTGGGTAGCTGAGTAAGTAGCGTCCAAGGTTTAAAGACTGGAGAGCAGGGGAGAAAGATGAAAGGAGAAAGCAGCACACACTTCAAAGCCCACTTTTAAGCACACAACATTATGAATATTTAAAAAGGATGCAAACAAAAAAGGCAACTCAGCATTTTCAGAAACAGCATTTGGGACTATTCAACGCATGAGGAGACTCTGCTTGGTGCCATCCACTCTCTCCAGCTTCTCAAAGTGTTTCCTGGCATTGAGAATGTTGATCAGGGTGGCCGCAGAAGGGATCGACGGATCTGACATGACCACCATCACGTACGTGTTTGAGCTGAAGATGTCGATGAAAGCTGCGAAGTTGGAATTCCTAACTTCCAT